CTTGGGGATTTTTTCTTCAATGATTTTGATGAAAATATTTTCTTGGCCTTGGAGAAGGGAGTCTTCTTTTTCCTCTATTCCTATTATTCTTAGGTTTTGTCTTTTCATATTGTCTTGGATTTCTTGGACAGTCTGTGTCAGGAATTTTTTGGATTTAAGATTTTCTTTGACAGATACATCGATTTCTTCCATTGTATCTTCTACACCTGAGATTCTTTCTTCCCTCTCTTGTAGTCTGTTGGTTATGCTTACCTCTGTAGTACCTGTTTTCTTCCCTAAATTCTTCCTCTCCATTATTTCCTCCATTTGTGTTTTCTTTAATTTTTCTAGTTCTATCTTCAGGTCTTGAGTTGTTTTGTTTACTTCCTTCACCTGTCTGGTTGTATTTTCCTCTTTTTCTTTTAGTTCCTTCAACTCTGTTTCTTTTATTTATTTCAGTCATTTTAATTATTTCTTCTCTGAAGTCTGCAAACTGTTTGGCTGCATCTTCCTGTATTTCTTCACAGATGGCCAAAATCTGCTTGTCTTTAACTTCCTCCATTTTTTTACAGATAGTCATGATCTGTTTGGTTTTATCTTCCTCTAATTCTTTATGTAGTTTATTTGTTTCCTCTATTATCGTCTTCATCAGCATAGATGTTAGGTCATCTTGATTTTCTATTATGCTGAGTTGTCCAGGGCTGTTTGGCCCTGCATGGTTGGGTTCTGGAGATGACATATTGCTCTGTCTTTTGTTGGTTGAGCTTTTACGCTGACCTCTACCCATTGGGCTGTTTTAGGTGTTGTCTGTTAGTTTCTGTGCTTCCTGGAGTCCTGAGGTAGGGAGAATCCCCTTGGCCGGAAGATGTTTTTTCCTGAAGGAGTCCTCCTCTGCTTTTTGGTTATGGTCACTGTATGGCCAGTGTTTCTCAGGAATTGCCACTGCTCACCTCAGGTGTATATCCCTGAGTAGTAGCTGTGGTCTTTGTTAGGCAGGGGGGATCTCCTCTTATACATAGAAGTTCTCATGACAGCTGCCCCAATGCTGGGTTTCTTGTTATAAATTTAGTGAGCTGCTGCTGTTGTTACAGTTTTCTAGGTACAGTCTTCTTGATTCAGCTGATTCCCTAGCTGTGGGGTTTTCTCCCAACATGGAAACTCAGTCTGTTATCCTGGGGCACACATTTCTGTCTGGGAAAGTGAGAGGAATACCTAGCAAGTCTCTGGGCCAGAGGCTGAGTGCTCTGCTCTGGGCCTGGAGAATGTGCACCTAGGTTGATTTGGTGCCTGGGGGTGCCGCTCTGGTCTGGAGGCTGGGTGCCTCACTCTGAACCAGAAGCTGTGTGTCCCTGTCTGGGATGGCGGCTGCAGGCACTGCTCTGGTCCAGACGCTGTGGGTGCATCCCTCTTGAAGGACCAGGGATTCCCACAGTTTTGTCAGTCTAGCTAGGAATAACTGGTTGATCCTTGGCACAGTATCTGAAGGGCAGCTGTAATGGCTCTCTGGCTTTTGTATGTCTGAGGATGCAGCTGTGTGCCCCAGTGCCCTAGGGGTACTCAATAATGGTGGCTGAGCACAGCGGTCCTGCCTGCATTAGAAAGCTAGAGCCTAGAGTCTGTGTGAATCCAGAAAGAATTTTGGTGCCAGGTGTCCTGAGTGTTAGACCTGATGATCCCCCCGCTGGGGGTTTCCTCCTGCCAGAGACACCCAGTCTTTGCTTTAGGCACCGCTGTTCTGTCTGGGGTGGCGAGTAGAACCCACAGGCACAGAAGCTCCCCCGTGGCTCCGCCTTTGTGGTCTTTGGGAGCCTGAGTGTCTGCCCAAACTGGATAATTTTCCCGAGACCTTTTCGGGGTGGGGGTGTCGGCTGAGTGCTCTGAGATAAGACCAGCCATTTCCCTTCCTGTGGGTTTGCACCTGACAGTGAAACTCAGTCTGTGGTGCCCTGGTGCCCTGGGGCCCACAGTTCTATCTGAGGCGGTGAATCAGGCTTGCAGGCAGGCCTCTGTGCAGGCACCTGGGTCCCTGGCTCTGGCTCTGGGATGGTTCCTGGGGCACCCGCGGAACCTGAGTCTTTTCCAGGGGATGTCTGGGTGACCTCAGGTCGGTCCCAATCGTTTCTGCTCTGTTGGGTTATCTCTCAACTGAAAAATCCAGTCTGTGATGTTCTGGGCCCACAGTTCAATCTGAGACAGTGACCAGATCACTCTGGCATGTAGCTCTGGGCTGGCGACCAAGAGCCTGGCGGAACCAGGATCTCTTCTGCGGTTTAGCCAGGTGAGTTAAAGCTGATTGAATCCCCCACCGTGGGGTATCCTCTCACCTGTGAAACACAATCACTTTTGTTTTATGGCCGCGAGTCCTGATTGCTGGTCACTGTGCCAATCCTGCTGTGCTGCTGCTCAGAGAGAGAGTCCTCCCGGTGCCGCCATCTTGCCCCGTTCCCTCTCAAGATGTAATATTATATATGCACAAAATTGTAATCATCTATATTTCATGAAAATATGAATGAAGTAAACAAAATAAATTGTAACAACACATCCTTTTTCAATTTCCTGTTGTGTAATTTCAATGGTATATCTTTCATGTAATTTCAGAGCTTTCACAGTATACGTAGAACCTGAATCCTACTTATATATTCTGTGCTATTCTCAGTAGATTTCAGAAATTACAGCAATCTCAGAATACAGTATTAAATAGCTGAATTTCTGGGTCTTTTCCAGGTCATCTTGCAATGTTCAGTATTCCCTCTTGTAACTTGGACGTGGAATTTCTTTAACAAAATTCCTTAAATAAATCATGAGTTTACAATCATTCCTTTCCCACAGGGAGGTTTCATTATTCCCCAGGAGCAAAACCTGCTTTGAACAATGTGATGTGGAATATTCCCCCTCCCATTATATATCTTTAATTTTTATTTAGCATTCAACAATATTCAATAATCATCTTTCCACCCTATGGTGGGTTGACGAGGCTGGATCCCCATAGACTCATGTGTTCGAAAGCATGCCTCATGTGGAGTAGCACATTAGCAGTTGCACTTCTATTGGCACCTTTTTGAAGTAAGTGTGGTATTTTTGGAAGAAGTGTGTCACTGTGGGGCCTGGCTTTAAGGTTCTCTCTGCCCAGTGTGGAATCAGAGTCTCTTCCTGGCTGCCTTCAGAAGACAGT